TTTTTTTTTTGGTCGGCCAGTGGCCATCGATCGCAACCGATCGATGCTAATGCATTAAATTTCTATGGCTATCGACACGCTATTCGGTGGGTATCAATCGAAAAAATCATTCGGTCACAAACTTCAGTTTGTTCATCTGATGTACTGAGTGAATAAGTGCAAATGTTAGGGAATGCAATTGCGTTACCGCAACTAAACGATTAGTGATAATGAGTTTGAACGATTGTTTTTGGTCACATTTTCTGGTGAAAATAACATCGTGTATTGTTGTACATAAAATTAATCAGTGCTGATGAAAATGATGCGAATGATGAGTTTTATTTGAATACGAAAGGATGAACGCAATTTATTTGGGACAATCTTCGAATTTGATACATTTTCCTTCAGCATTACGAACGAATTCATCATGTGCAACGCATTCACATCCTCGACCATGACATTTTCTTGTGCATCGACCAGGTCTTCCACCGTTCTTTGCTCGTTCCTCGCATGTTTCTTCACATCCCTTGCACGCTAACCATTTCTCATTTTCTGCGCATTCCTCCTCTGAAATACCGCTGATGAATTCTGCACGTAAAACACTTGTTCTTCAATGAAATCGCATTTACCTCCATTTACAATGCTTTACAAAAGTCGATTTGAATCAGTGTTCTAACCTCGCTTCATTCTGTGCTGTGGGCATTGAAACGCCGGAATACATCTGCCTTCGTTAGTTCGTCTGTAACCGCTGGCAGGACATTCACATTTTTGTCCATGACAATTGTACGTGCATGGACCCTGAGAAATCCGTTCACGTGTATTTTATTGAAGTATTTTATGGCTTTTATGGCTTAAAATCAACTTCGTTCGTCTGTTGAATCCCAACGCAAACTCAATTTTGAATGTTCAGTCATGGAATATTTTACAGCATTTCAAATGAATTCCACGAATTCCAACTGACAACGAACCACGTTTGATTATTTCAATTGGGTGATGCCTTCAATCAAAAACTCCATTTCTCAAAGAAATAATGATGCGATAATCAGATCAGTTACCTACCAGAGTCTCACCACACTTCACTTCACATCCAGCACAATCCGACCATCTTTCATTTCGACCACACTCTTGGTGGGCGTTGACCAATGCAACAATCGCCTGAAAATGCGACAAGGTTTATACCAAAGAAGGGCATCGATGAACTAGACCATCTCCTGCTATCAAATGAAACAATTTGAGCCCTTAGAATAGTGAAGAATCAAATTCCAATGAGAAGTAATAACATCATCGTATAAGGAACAATCTCCTTGCGACTCGTTGACATCAATCAGCCAANAACTCACAGATGAAACACATCATTCAATCGAAAACTTAATTCGAAAATTGTATGTCTGTGTTTTCTGCTAACTCTATGTGAATTTATTAATACACTCATGTGCAAAAAAAATAAAACTGTTTCCTAGGCAAAGCTTCATGAGATACCGGATTTGCTCACAGTCCCACAGTTAATCTTTTCCCTTTTCTTTGACATGAAAGATCTATTTAATAACACTGAAGATTGCTTAGTTTGTGAAGTTCTGAAAGTTATACTGTAGCTCGGACGCGGTTGCGCTGAATAAACATAAAACTGTGAAGAGGACTTACGAGGAATGCAATAACAGCGAGCATTACTATTGAAGCACTGCGATATACAGAAAGAATATTAACTGTCCATTTGCCTCTCGCTCAGCAATGTTTTATACGGGTTATTTGGGTGCGTAGAGTTGATAATGATTGTTATTCGGTAGATAATGATGTGAACGATCCTTATCTGTACATTTTGTGTTGTGGAAGTAGCAATTAGAGTAATAGTAAACACTATCGTTTCATCACTTCAAATTGTGTTATTGAAGTTGTTGATTTGCGAATGTTTTTGTGGTGTTCTACGAGCAGCAATTGAAAGAGAAAACGCTTTTGATAATCCATCTATGGAAGAATTTCCATAATCAACTTTTCATTTGAGAAATTTCCGCAAAAGTTGTGACATTGAAGCACTCTTGTTTGGTTGCTGAATCAAAAACTGAACCTTCAGCCTATGAATTTTGATAATTTAAATAGATATTTTGATATTATATCAATTAGTTCGATTTATGAATCGAGAATTTTCATCATGNAGCATCGTTGTTTCTGACAATGAGCATCACTTCTTTTTCAAACTTCTGTCGATCTGCTTCTTCACACTTTCAATTGCAAACTTTCGCTGAGGTTTTTGTCAGAACGCAATACTTCATTTATTTGAGTCAATCTTCTGGCTTTGTTGCAATCTTTGTGAAATCAAGATTGCTGAATTTTTGATTGTTGATTCAAGTTCTCCATCTATAATACATCATCGAAATAATAATTTTGTAATAAAAACCGGAAGCAATAAACTTTGAGGCAGTATAATGCACATAATCCATAGATGCTTATTTCGCTGTTCATTGAGCAATTCAATTTAATTGCTATCATTTTTAACAATTCGTTTTATGAATTCATTTCATTCCTAACGAAATCATTTTATCTTTGTGAACATAAAGCTTAAGAAATTATAAAGCCCCGATGGTTTTATTCTTCTCAATATTCCAGTGGAAACGTTGATATTTCCGATTTTTTAATGATCGACCAGTTCATTGAAACGAAATCCTCGTTAATCTCCTCGTTAATACTTAATACTTGCTTTTAAAAGAGTTTTTAAAAAATAATTATCTTCAGTTCGTGCGAAATATTTTTAATGCAGCGTTTCTTCAACAACAAGTTTGTTGAACTTTTTTCTCGTAGATCGATTTCCTGATTCATCATTCGCCAAACCGAACTGCAAAAAACGTTTGCACACGACCAATCAAGGATTGAGTGATATCCCAAGGTCGCGAGAATCATACGTATTTATGTCATCACGGAGTTCAATTTATAAACAAGCAAATGAAGCACATCAAATCCATTTCAGGTGATCAACTGTGAGATTTGCATATAACCGGATTGACGTCTTTACAGTATCCAAATTAATCTGTTATTATATATTTCAGTTTTAATTCGATACAGCTACAATTATTTGTCGAAATTCATTGAAACGATTGCATAAATTTTTTTCGCAGTTTCAAATGCAATTTAGGCGTAAATAATTGATATAAAACTCTCCATGCTAAACCTTTTATTACGCTCATTGACATCCAATTATGGGATTTTTGGAGAAGTCGTTTCATACGTAGAAGAACAGCAAATGAACATTGTGAAATGATATCGTATGAATGGATAGCAATTATTATTTTATGTTTCAGTAAGGTTGTGAAAACAATGTAGCGGTTGTTTTGTTTGCTAATGATGAGAATGGTTCATGTGAACACGTTTTGTGATGTTTTTAATGATGACATTTTGACTGGCTGTCCAATTCAGTGATCACAATGATCTGGCTGGTGTGAGAGTGAAATGAATTTGCTGCTGCATATCACAATCTATCAAAACAGCCACAGTTCGTCGCTCAAAGACTGATTTGTTTCTGTTCCCAGACTGTCAGTTGTTTGAAAAAAAAATCAACAGCTAGAAAATTTGCTATTCTAATCAATGCAACGTGAAGTGGTAAATAAGGGCATGTTGACTGAATGTTTGATTGATTATCTACAAAACAGTGGATGATTAATAACATCAAAAATGTGTTCATTCGAGACAAATGTTATCTTTTTCATTTTTTCGATCAGACTCTGCAGGGATTCCCATCATTTAGCTATTGGTATTTCTCGATGCAAGACGTATTTTCAACTGTTTTTTTTCTGTTTGAGTCAAGAATCACAGTGAATCACTTCTGTAGGATTGACCACTTGCATAACGCCTGAACATGTTCTGCTGCAATATTCATAACATATCTGCCTATTTATACAGTTCAATTGCTATTACCACCTGTTTAGTTGTTCAATCTGAATAGAAACTACCGTTCATCATCAACGAGTGATTACTAACATGATTGAAATAATCGCCCGCCGCTCGGTGGAAAAATAAAACGTCACTAAGAAATGGATCGACTTCCAAAGAAATAAACCTATCAACAAATCTCGTGCAATAACATTTNAAATAAAACGTCACTGAGAATTGGATCGACTTCCAAATAAAATAAACCTATCAACAAATCTCGTGTAATAACATTTTTTACTTCGCGAAATGCACCAAACTGTAGATGTTCATTTATTCGTTCACAGGTATAATAAATAAAGGAATATTGTACTGACAATTGTTTGTATATTATATCATAGCATTGCAAATTTCACGATGCAGCAAGACTAATGGACGAGTGTTTCTGCATTTGCGTGTTGGTGTTTTGAAGGAGAACGATAGATCAGTTAAAGAAATGAAACGATTGAATAACTTCATTTTTATCATGTTTACTGCATTTGAAAGTAAACATGATAAAGATGAAGTGATTCAAGAGGAATGTTTTGATATGGTGATAACGCAGTGTGACGTGATTGATCGATGTTATCGCTCACTGCGTGAAGTAACGTCTTCGGTATTCATTCGCAAGCACCGCTGCGTCCTCTTCGTTCCTCTTTGGGCAAGGGCAATACTCGGCATCGTGACCCGGCTCTCCTTCTTCGCCTGGTTCACCAGGGGCGCCCTAGAATATGTTCAATGAACGCATCAATTTAACTGAAGCGATTGAAAAAATACAGACGAATTCATCGATACAAGAAGTGTGTTTCTTGGAAAGTTCAACAGGCACACTGAAGATTGAAAATGAAGAAAATATTTTCGATCAAAGTATCTAGTTGAGATATTCAACTGAAATGAAATATATCAAGAAATCTTGCATCGCTTGAGGCTTTTTAAAGTATCGTCGATAATTCGAATCATTTTTTCTCATCACCGTTACTTCCGTTAAGAAGTGTCACCCATTCAATTGAAAAACTTTCAAAACTTCCAACCACAATACGTACAGTAAATATGATGGATTGTGCGCTCTAATCAACAGAGGAAACTTCATAGAAAATAAGTCTAAACGAGAGTAAGTGCTGCATATCTGTGCAATGAATCAATATCTTTGAAAATTCGAGGATATCTAAATCGATGGATTCTATAACTGTAGGATGCCAAAGTTTCAGCTCAGTACCTGCTCTCCATCCTTGCCAGCTTCTCCTTCAGATCCACGCTCTCCAGGAGGTCCAGTCACACCGACCACTCCAACATCGCCTCTTTCGCCTTGATTCCCTTCGTCACCCGGTGGTCCTGGCACTCCTTTCAATCCCCTTCTTCCCACCATATGTTCAGTGTTCTCTCCAGTATCGCCTTGCGGTCCCTCTAATCCTACGATTCCAGGTGATCCATTTGGCCCCATCTGAAAAATTGTTTCAAGAGATCACAATTGCTTAATCAGTGAAAATTGACGTTCAAACTAAGAAGGCAACCTTAATTGAGTGTAACTCAAATCAGTTGAGGAACCCGTTTTTACGGCATTGACGAGATGATCGCTCATTTCGACATGTTTATTCATCAACGGTCAACAATTCTATTCTTCTCAATATTACGTGTTGGATCATTTGCATCAAAACTTATCANTCATTGTAAAACTTGAAAGCAAATCAATTCTTAGGCTGCTTCCAGACATTTCGCACATATTACACCAACGCACTGGCTGGTGATGAGCAACTGTGGTTGCTCGATAATGACTTATTGAATTAACCTGTCCAGGGAAGCCGGGTTGACCATCCCGCCCAGGCATACCAGCTTGTCCTCTGGAACCACGCATTCCTCGTGGGCCTGGTCGTCCTTGCGGTCCTGTTAGTCCTTGTGGTCCAGGTGGACAATGGAAACATTTGTCGTATTGCTGTTGTTGGGCTTGAACATCATCTGAATCTGTTCCGTCCTGTGCATTCTGTAAAGACTTCACGTTAGTGATTACGCAAGGATGTCAGGCACGAATGATAAACTGAATCAATTTGAGCAGTCAAATAAAATTCTACATATTTCTAATGAATCGATGAATGAGATGAAACGGCAAAAGCTATTATTAACGAGAGACATTTTACGTGGCAGACTGTCAAATCTTTCGAATCCTCATCCTAATTTTAGCATATTGATATAAATTGAACGACAAATTGATAATATGCTAACCGTGCCATCAGCTCCGTCCATACCATCAGCACCAGGTTTACCTTTCGGTCCGGGTGAGCCTGCTGGGCATTTATTTTCAGCGTTGCAATTGCACTTTTCTGCAAAACGATTTCAATGTAGCAATCATTATACGATGGTGGATGCCACTTCGAGCAAATCGCCGCGATTTTCGTTAACCGAATTGAATTTCGTTACATTTGCATTCTTTTTGGTTGGAAGGAGACGGCATATGATGCCCTCTTTTGATTTCATGCACTTTTCAACTCTAGTTATTACGGCTGATATCCACGGTTGATGCTTCAGCTAATTTATCGCAAACATTCAGAAGAGGAGAAAATTTTGGTCGATATAGTTGCATCAAGAATCTTGCATGAATTTTCCCTAAATTGATAATCACCTATGAAGACCTCAAATTTGGAGCAGAACTTCGTCTAACAATGTTTTCGGTATAATTACTGTTGTGCAAAGTGAGTAAAGTGAATTCAATTTTGAAGTAACTTACTCGCTTGCTTTTTAGATGGAGGTGCTTGACTTGGTGGAAGCGCTGAAATGAATCGATTCATTGATTGCTCATAAGTCATAAAAATATAGCTGATACTTGGACTTAATGTTCAAGCATCGTACATTAAACTTAAGCGTCCCCACAAATGTAAGCTTAAGCATTCAGTTGAAACGTAAGCATAAAATGAAGTAAGAAAAGTAAAAAGAAGTTAGGAGTGGTAAATTTCTCTCGTATTTTTACATGAAGTTCTAAGCAAAACTCAATATGTTGAATGAAGATCTTTCTCAAGAATTCACTCGAAATCTACCTTCAGGAAGCCGTCGAGGTGCTTGTGCCTGAGCTTGAGCTGGAGAGGAGTCATAATAAGATTGGCGACGGAAACGATCCTTCGCGCCCATCGCAACCATGTCCTTCCACATATCACTGGATCTCACCTAAAAATAGAATGATGAAACTTTCGATAGATATACCCAAGTTCTTGTTACACACTGTCATTTGATAAAGTCCGCTGGAATAACGAATTCGATACGTCAATATTTGGTGAACAGAATCATGTTTTCAAACAACTACTTGCTGTTGCTCTGCAATGAAATTCTCTAATTGGACGAAATAAATTTTGACAGAACTTTCATGAGGCAATTTATGCATAAGTAAAGTCATGTTGCATCGAATAAACGTGACGAATATTGTCTTGAAGAGAGTATTGATGGAATGCTCAACTCGGCATGATTGAAAAGAAAACAAACAGTAATTGGCAATTACACTCATTATCAGAGAGTTCAGTTGTTTCGTTGGAGATTGCACATTGCACAAACTGGCGTAAAGATAGCAGAAAAGACGAAATGAGACGAACCCGAAATGTGTCCATTTCGAGATTGAGTTCATTTTCAATGTCCTGGATATCGTTGAGAATCTCTGAGATGGCCATCAACAAAGCCAAAATTGTGCCCGTACCGAGTAGCACTGCTGTTACTGCTGATGTTTTAGCCAACATCTTGCAAACTTAACACCAACCTTTAACAAACAAAATTTCAACGAAATACTATCCTTTCAGTTATTCTCAGTTCAATTTCGAATGCTCCATTCAAACAATTGATTCTTTATTGAATAACTAAAAGCAGTAGATTCCTATTTTCGAAGTGAATAAAAAGACGGATGTGAGGACAACTGAAAAAGTGCACGTGTCACTTGCAGTGAACCATAGATGGACCTCGCAACTTTTAAATGTCTATCCGACTGGTTACGAAATTCTTCTGACAATTGCAACGTCGTTAATTTAATATCTTTTGACTCAAATAGATATCTGAATACATTAGATTTGGAAGCTTGCAAGGATTTGAGGACTATCCTCATACAAGATCATATTAAACGAATGAACATACTTTCAAGCGAGCTGAACACGATGAAATTTAGGCGATTTATTAGAATCCACTCGAAGATTCGCTGTATATATACGTGATGAAGTTGACGACGCTTATTAATATGACCCCATTTAATAATTGCCGATAATGATAAGAACACATGAAGAACAATGACAAATATGGGTCAGTTGAAAGTTATGCAGAACTGGTACGAGATGATCATAGTAACGATCATATCATTATGTTCTGATAAACAAATCATTACTCTCATTTCAAAACATTCCGCAACAATTTCAAATCATCCACCGAAATGCCCATATCCAAAACAAGTTTGCAACTTTCATGTTATTGTTCTCACTCGTCAAATTCATCATATCTGTTAATAAAGGCTATCGAAGCGTATTTGTGAACCACTGATGAGATGCATTCATTCAAATCACTTCAAACTGACACATTCACTTCCAAATTTTAATTCTCTCAACATTTCTGAATTCTTTACCATTAGATGATTAAATGTTATTAATATAATTGGTGCCATACACTAATATTTAATGTATAGCATCAATTATTAATGTAATTGATGCTAAAAGGTTTGCAAAGTAAAATCAGCGATTCGCTCAGTGCATCAAACAATCTTTTTGAGGTTTTATTTATGATAAGAGATTTGTGATTGGAAATGTTGAACGAATGTGTCATTGCTTCACTCCAAATCGATACAATCATTTTCTCGTTTGCAGAAATTCATTTCATCAACTTTATTCCATGAATCCATTCAACATCTCTTAATACTCTTCACACGCAAATATGCATTATGTTCGACTCAATAGCCGTCCGTTGTCAGCAAATGAGAAACTATCAAAAACTTTCGTTTTCTTGAATCAGTTTGAAATTAAATTAAGATATTGGTCCAATGTTCAGGACAGTATGTTCCGGGGATGGAAAAAAGTTGCGGACGGGAAAACTCGTGGACAAAATTTCGCATTCGGCCTAAAAAAATTTAGAGATGGGAAGGGAGCGCTCGAAATTCCCCATTCCCTGCAACACGGCTCAAAGTATTGCTGAATGAGCAAGAGCTCATAAAATACTCATATTATAAGATATAAACACAAACACAAAAGTTTTCCATAGTAATTTTGAATAGTAACAATAGCAAAATTTGAAAACAATTACAAATTGGATCAGATTTTCAATAGTAAATATTTTTCTCATCCGAAGATGCAATTGATATTTGCATTTTATTTTGTAACCAATTATCCAAGTCACGTAAACTGCCAATCCGCCGTGTATTATCACCGAGAACAGCCGCTGAATGTCGATGTGCCAGTGATGGTCTCGATTCAATTGTGTGCACATTCGAGGATCTTGAACAGTTCGAGAGATTAAGACATTTATAACACGTCACTTCAATATAAATATCCTCTTCGTACACCTAAAAAAGAACTCGCTTATTTCAATCATTCATTAGTAATTAATTGCTTGTGCGACTTCTGTTGTCGAGTGACTCTACTAACTTTGACAGTGGCTATTTGAAAGTATTAGGCATTATCATAAGCCTGTTTCACAAATCTTGACCCTCAAACGAATGAATAATTGTAGGACGAGAACGCATTGGACTATTTATTAAAAAACAAATTTTATGTTATCAGAATTTGGTAAAATCGAAAGTATTTAGAAGAAATGAACGAGTTAACCTCATAAATAATTTGTTCGCATTGTTTGTGTGTGCGTAGAACACTGTGATGCAATCCAAATAGGAAGAGTGG